TATCGGGGGGGGGGGGTGGCTTCCCTTCCTCTCTTGTAGCTTTCATCACTCTCCATTGCCTTACTGTGCTTTATTTTCTTCATAAGCATTTAATCCAACAAATAAATGTTAGATATGAATTTGCCATTAATTATCTGTTTTACTTTCATGAAAATGTAAACTCCCTAAAGACAGAGTTTGTTTTAACGGTTTATCCATTTTATCCCCAACACCAGGAAAGGTCCCTGGTACATAGTAGGTGCTCAGAAGTTACTTGTGACAGATGGAGGATGACCTGTGATGCTCAGACTGTTTCAAAAGCATGGTCATTGACAATGTCCCATTCATTACCAAAGGGACTTGTGGGGAGTTGGCGGCCGCCTGTTTTCTGGCTGTAAAACGTGTCCACGATAGGTGTACTGGCAGACACTCTTCGTCCCCTATTTTGATGGCTATAGAAAGAAGAGATTTGGTTCATTATTATTATAAACTCAAACTACCTATATTCACCATGAGAGGAATGGTGCCTCTCACATTTTCTGGTGGGAATTGCATCTACATGAGTAAGCATGATTTGTTTTTTGGAAAAACTGGATTGAGATTTTTGTTTGTTTCACTTGGGAAATTTTATACTAAGCAGATTAAATTAAATGACTTTGAACTTAGAAATGTCCACATTCTAAATTTTATTAAGCTTAATTGGGTTTATAGAATACTTAAAGACCATACAAACTTAAATGGGAGATCAAAATGAACTAATAGGTTGATGCAGACTTTCCCCCGCTGCCTTTGTGCTGCATTAATGAGAGTGGTGCCTTCATGCCTGCAAATGATGAACACAAAGGCCTGGCTTTCTGGGGAGCCTCAGTGTGTCCTTCCTGCTGTGGTCTGAACTGTGTGGTGCCTCTGTCCCTCGATATTCTGTGCTGTGAACCTGGCTTTCAAGACCACCTCTGATCTGAAAAGTAGTTGGCCTCAAGACAGACTTGTGAACATTTCTTTAAAGGTGCTTCTTGGGGAAGAAATCTCTAATTGTTGGAAATAATATCTATCAGATTACAGAATCTGCTAATGATGGAAATGAGCGATTTGATTGTGTTATTTCTCCAGCTTTTGCACTCAGTTAATTGAGCGGTGGACTATGGCAGCCCCCCATGGAAAATGTGGGGCTGGGTCTTAATGGCCACATTTCATCTCTTGTGTTGAATTTTCAGTGCTACATTGATTCTTCTTAGGTCCTTGTAGAATGGTTCAAGAAGTTGCCGTCTGATTACTTTCTGCTCATTTAGAATGATCTTCAATTATTAAAGCAATACTTGTTCATTTGTAAAAACGTTCAAATGATAGAGACATTTGTGAAATAAAAAGTATAAGTCCCCTTTAAGAAAAATAGGATTCTGTGCTATACCATATCCTACAACTTGCCGTTGCTCCCCTCACCAGTTTATACCGGATGTCTTTCTACATGAGTACATATCTACAGGGTATTCGGCTCTGTGAATGGACTGTAATTTTTTTTTTTTTTTTTTTTTTTTTTAGCCATTCAGCTATCAAGAGACACCTAAGCTCTAACAGTTATTGACTATTACAAATAATGAAGGTGAACATTCTTGTAGCTTTACCATTTTTGTGTATTGGTGAAAATGTATAAAATGAAATTACAAGGCTTTATGAAGACGTTCACCTCTATAGTTTTTCCATATGCCTATCACTTCCTGTCATCTTTGATACCTGCTCAGCTTCTACGGGTATTTTGTTGTTGTTGTTGTTATCCTGGCTATAAGATAAATGCCTAGAGATAGAATTACTGGGCCTGAAAAAATTACAAATAAAAAATGCTATGGATATTGTTAAATTGCTCTCCCAAAATGTTTATTTTGGAGTAAAAATCCCTTCTCTTTTGTTGCCAGTTGAAAGGCATCATTGTGAGAAATCCAGGGTGTGGACCTAGTATTGTTTGATGATGTTTATTTTATAGGCAGAGATGTGACAAGTCCTTTCCATGCCGTTTCTACTCAGATAAGGAGGCCAGTCCCCCAGGGAGCCAAGGGCGCCACATAAATGGAAATATTGAACATGATTCTGATCCTCTTTCATAAGCAGTAAAATAAAATACAAACTAACAAAATAAATATGATGCCTATAAATCCTTTAGCACGTACCTGACCCTGGGCCCCGTTCCCAGGGCCAGGTAGGGGTCACAGCAGTGGTATAGGAGCCATGGTTGGGGTGTGGGGGCTGCAATGCTGGATTCCATTATTGTGGTTATTGTTAGCACAGTTCTTTGAGCAGTCATGTCTGGCCTGAAGTTTGGCACGATCCTGCTGGTTTTCCAAATGGGTTGCCATCTTTTTAAGTGAGGGATTATAGAAGTCTTGCTAGTGGTTCACAGCCTTGTGCTGGAGCTTTAACCATGCTGCTGAGAGAGAACTCAGTTTATCCTGAGGTTCTTAATCTGCATGGCAGAGGAGGTTTGGTGCATGCGAACATACGGCTGCTCTGTGCCACATCTTTTCCTATTTGCCTGCAAAGATAGACCCCTAGCTTCATTTACTAAGAGCTATCTTTTAAGCTTTCTGCTTCATTAAAAACCAGTGGGGATGCAAGTTTTTATCAATCTAGGGTTTTCCCTTAAAACAGCTTAAATTTGAAATGAAAGGTGAGGACTTATTTAAAAAAAAAAAAGCATGGGTCTGGGTCTCAAAACACTGTATTCCAGTGCTGGCTCCTCTGGGTGCTGGCTCTGGGCCATGGGGCTGGTTGGGGTTTCCTATGTGGACAGACCCAGCATCTTGAAGAGATTGAGAGGAGGCCCCAGTGTTATCCCAAGGCAGGACTAGATGAATTTTTTTAAGTTTATTTGTTTATTTTTGAGAGAGAGAGAGAGAGGGCAAGCAGAGGAGGGACAGAAAGAGAGAGAGAGAGAGAGAGGGAGGAGACTCTCAAGCAGACTCCCCACGGTCAGCGCAGAGCCTGACATGGGGCTTGAACTCAGATGACCCAGGACTAGATGAAATTAAGCAAACCATTTTAATTAACTGGACCTCAGCTACCGCCTACATCAGACACCTTCAGCTAAATGCCCACAGTGGCCAGGCAGGAAAAGTGAACAAGAAAGTGACTTTATGTAGGGCTTGGTCAGTGATAATCACTTTTGGCCACGTGAAACTGACTCCTCTCTTTTTTCCTCCAAGAGAAGCCAGAATCTCCCAATTTAAGTAATAATAATAATAATAATAATAAATAAGTGACATATCCTTTCTCTCTCATTGTGACTCCATTGGGAATAGTGTGGGAGAGAGTGAGGGGAATGAAGAGAGGCAAATCTCTCTCTGCCTGCTCACCCACTCAGGAAGCACCCTTGGAGGAGTTGTGATGGATGAAATGACTGCCTTCGTGCACACAAGTGAGGACAGGCTGAGGTTATGTAATGATAACATGTGTTTAAACATTTCTTTAGGAGCATCTGGGTGGCTCAGTCCGTTAAGCATCTGACTCTTGATTTCGGCTCAGGTTTGAGCTTGAGCCCCACATTGGGCTCTGCACTGACAGCACGGAGCCTGCTTGGGATTTTCTTTCTCCCTCTCTCTCTCTCTGCCCCTCCCCTTCCCTCTCTTTCCAAATAAATACATAAAAACTTAAATACACACACACACACACACACACTCACACACACATCTCTTTAAACTAGCTTTCAAGCTGTAGTGCCCAGAGAAGAGGATATTTATAATTAAAACAAAATCTAGAGCGCCTGACTGGCTCAGTCGGTAGAGTACATGATTCTTGGTCTTGGGGTTGTGAGTTCAAACCTCATGTTGGTCATGGAGCCTACTTAAAAAGATAATAATTAAATAAATACAAGAAAGCACAATCTGCATTTTTTTTCACTCAGCTGGGAGCATTCGTGTATTTTTACCCATTCATATATTGAGCTGTGCTCCATCAGGACATAGCCAGGGGAAAGAGGCACACCTCTTCCTTCCCTGCATCAGGTGGACAGGCTAGCGGGAATCAACCTCACAGACGTAACCACACAAGATACTAGTTATCTACACTATAATAAAGGCACTGAAGGGGCAATAGGGGGGCCTGAGCCAGTTTCAGCGGGCTGGGGGGACACCAGCTGGTAAAGCCTCTTGTACCACATATCCAGTGTCTTCATCCGATAGTATGTCTTCGTTAACTGAGGCACAAAGAGGTAGCCACAGCACCATCCTTGGCCCGCCAGAAGACTTTTGTTTGGACTGTGTAGTCTTCAGCCATGTACCATTTTAAATTTGAATTCAAGAGTTGTATCCCTTTTAGTTCCTCTTCTTCCATCTTACCCTCAAGTACTACTTTGGGGGATGGATTGTACTCTATTTCAGAGAATTCTAGCCTCATGGGAGAGAGTTGAGAAAGCAGTAGAAAATGAGAGAGACAGGGTTTTACATGTGTCTTCTACTCTTTGGGAACCAAATGCTTAAGAAGGCAAGAAAGAGTCCCCATTGGTCTCCTGGCTACAGGCCGTGCCTCTGGTCCCACTTAATTACCTCCTAAAATCACACCAGACACCACAGATGGTAAGACTCTCTGCAGCCTGTCCTCACCATTGGGGGAGAGGGATGTTGAGTGTCTTTTGGTGGCGTTTATATTCCCAGGAAGAGCATACCCTGCATTTCCTGTGTGGATGAGGAAAATGGTTGCGGATTTGGTCCAGACCTGGACGATCCTTGTCCATATGTTTGTAGCAAACCCAGACCCGTGATGTTGCCATTTCCCATTTCAACTTGCTCTCCTCTGTCGTGTGTTGCACACCGAAAAACAACCACCACCAGTGCCATATGGTTTAAAAGATCAAAGGCCTGAGTTTTGAATATATTTCTAGCTGACTGTACTTCAAATGTCTTAAATATGTTCCTACAGATGGGAAGCCTGGGGCATTAAAGAGGTAAAGCACATGTGTGTGTGCCACGCATGTGATCTGGGGCAGCAGAGTGAAAGGTGAACACCACTGATGCCTGTGTTCCTCTTCCTCTCAGGTCCGCATCTTCACCTACCTCATTGGACGGGAGGCTGCTTTTGCAGACAATCTCAAGTGGATGGCTTGTGCCAACAAAGGTAGGTTCCCCCGTGTGCTTGGCTTTGAGTAACTTCCCCTCGGATGTGCCAAAATTGGGGTAGTCCTGAGCAAGTAGAAAGTTCTAAGAGAAGGCTATGAGTTCTAAGACAACATTTGGGTGTTTCTAGATGAGTTTTGATAACTTATAATAGCATCTCCGGAAATACATTTACAAATTTCGAGGACATTGTCATGTGGAATGGTTAACCCTCTACATTCTGCCGCTTAGTTGCTGGGTGACCTTGGGATGATTACGATGGCATAGCACTTTACTGATCACCAGATACCCGTGTGTTCACTCCACCTTCCTAGTCCCCTTGCAGTTAGCTGGGGCCTCAAGACAGGTTCAGTAGGCCGTGAGCAAAACCAACCTGCATCATTCCTAGGCTAAAGCGAGTTAGAGCTAGTATGATAGTGTCCATACAATGTTCTCCTGCCCTTGTGAACTCTGAAACTCCATGCTCTGGATGGAATAGTCATGAGATGACTTCATCAGCCTGGTTTCCTGAGTGACCACTAGGGACGGAGGCCTTTCTACTCCCCCTGTCCCCGGCTGTGTGCCGGCCCATGCTGCCAGTATAATCAATAACCCTTTGTGTTAAGCTACTGAGATTTTCAGTTTGATATGTTCCCATAGCATAACTTAGCCTACTTAACTAATCAAATTAGTTTTTAACCTGCCTCAATGTTCTAATCTCCAAAATCAGGATGTGGATAATAGTTCTTCCTTTGATTCCTATTAAATGTAAGGATTAATGAAATGGTGTATATTAGGTACCTGGTTCAATGCTGAGGCATGGTAAATGCTCAGTAATTGTTGCCTTTTCGATATTCCGAGGTTTATTATTTAATAATCTCCTGTTGTGTGTCAGAAACAATGCTTTGGGGAAGACAGAAGGAGGGAGGTAACTGGCCCACTAGTCAGTAAAGGGCTTCTTTTCATGCTACACACAACCAGAGAGGCAAAACAGAGGAGGCAAATAGCTGGTCAAGTCCAACCCCTGGAGTCTTAACCCAGACTCCTTGAGTTCAAATCTAGCCTCCACCATCCACCACCCATGGACAAGTTACCAGACCTATCCGGGTCTGAGTTGTGTCACCTACAGAGCAGGGGTAATGATGACACGTGCCCGACACTGTTGTGAGCCTGAAATGGGGTTCTGCAGGTAAAACTGGTAGTGCAGTGCCTCACAAATACATGTGCTGTATTATTTCCTGGTGCCATTTTGATCTGTAGGCATGTCTTATTTCCCCTCGGAGGCTACATGTTCTATGAGAACAGGCTTTTACTCTGATTTCATCAGGAGCACTTGGGGAGAGCCCAGACTCCTATCTCACTCAGAGCGAGTGCTCCTTTAACGTTTGAAAAATGAGTAAATTGGCTATACACACTTGCAAAGGAAGGCATGTCCTATCACATAGTAAACTAGTCTTGATAGATTTAGGTGGTCTTTTTTAATATTGTCTCTTAAGCCATGCTTTATTAAAAAAAAAAAGTTCCAATGTTTGTACGTTAGTGGAGGAAGGAGGACTCCATGAAGAGTTTGCACACCCCAGCTCTTAAGACAAAGTTATTTTAGTTGCAAGCAGCTGAAGTTGCTCTCTGAAATTAAAAAGAGGAGTGTTTTGGAGAGGAAAAGGAGTGACTCAGAGCCCAGAGCGGGAAGAGAAGCTCATGTTTCATGAGGGACCAGGAGGCTGGTTTCAGTTCCTTTCTTCCTTGGTTTCTTTCTGCACCCCATGACATTCTTCCTCTTTGTAGACAGACCACCCCCCTCTGCCCACTGTGGTGTGTGCACATCTAGAAATGACCACACCATGCCGTGCACACTCCTCTGTCCACACAACACATTGTGGGCAAGACATGATATTCAAAAGAAGAGTTTGTATCTTCTCCACTTGAGACTGGTCAGCATTCTAAATTCTGATTTCAAGTCCCTTCATTCCCCCAGAAAAGATTATGACCCCAAGCTTGGATCAGGTCTCCCCAAGCTGAATTGGGCATGGGTGGAGGTAATCCCATAGAGAAAAATATATGTGTTCTGCGGGGGCTTAGCACTGTGAATGGGCGGGTGTGGGACATGAGTGGTGAAAAGGTGCATGGACAACCAAATAAAGCTTTCTCGCCTTTCCCTTTGCTTGACATTGTCTTGAATTCTCTGCTTCTACTTGGAACAGTCTTTTAAGCCCGTGTCAATCCCCTCATCTTAAAAGGAGAGAACAGCGTGGAAGGTTTTTAACATTTCCTTGAAGCACTAACATAACACATTTTACAATTAGTTTAGTTTAGTGGCTGGCTGGCCTCACTAAAAGGTATCAACAATTCTGATTGTCTCAGGATAATGCATCTGGCTTCACTTGGGGGCAAAGTATAGGAGAAACATAGGCAATGAAGATATGGGGGTTCAGTGGATCCCAGATTTCCTCTGAGTGAAGAGGCCATTCTTGAAATAAGTTTTGGAACTTTGTTGACATTTGAAAACCTTGAGCGAACTACACTTTTCCCATTTTTTCCTTTATTTTGTGGTCTTGAAAAGAAAGGGTTCCTTTCCATTTTCAAGTTTTTAAAAAATGTTGCTGTTATTCCTGCCACATTGGATTGTAGTTGTTCCCATCAGCTAGGATGCATTTAGTCATGGGTTCTTGTTTGTATCTGTCTGTGTCCAGCTGATGAAAATTACTCAAATTGAAGTCTTGTCTTAATCAACCAATATTACACCATAATTCAGTTTTAGCCATTGTTTATAAGAATCTTTGAGGCATCCTTTTGAAGACAATTTAGTCAACTCAGAGTATTCCAGGGCCTGGCTATAGAATATAGGCCTTTAGATTTATAAGTTCTGAGTACAGCAACTTGGAAAACCCAAGGAGGTAACAGTAGCTGCCTTGCTGGCCGGGCCATCGGATTCCACAGTGATTCTCCTTCTCTTCCTGAACAAATCCAGTCATTTCCTTCCCTGCCAAAGCAAGTCTGTCTCAAGACGTCTGCCTTCCTCACTCTGCTTCTTTTCTAAAGGGCCTTGGGAATAAAATGTCATTGTTTGCCACCCTTCAAAGTAACAGTCGCCACCAAAATGTTAGCTTCCAGTCATCTGTGCCCATATAAACATTGGCTTCACGTTGCGTCAGTTATGGGGTTTCAGACCATGTAACATCGGTGAGCAAGTATTCTTCTCTGGTCATTAATTAAATCATTGTTTATAGTCTCAGATTGTTATAGTATGGAGACAGCATAACATTTTTCATCTCAAGTGACATGAGGTCCAGAGGGGGCCCCCCTTACATATTTTCTCCCTGAGTCAGCCAAGTTCTTCAGTGAAATGGAGCATTAGCATTCGGGGACCAAAACAGACACAGGGGGAGCCCAGGGGAGCCCAAGGAGAAGTCTGCTGGCTGACTGGCCAAAGTGACTCAGGAGTCCTAGGGCCAGCACCTCTTCCCAGGGTCAGTAGTCAGGGACCCACTATCTGCACCAATAGAGTCTGGTAACCATGGAGACAGTTCTCAGTCAGTGCACCTCAGACACTGTCCCCTGGAAACGGATTCCTGGGGACATTCATGCCCCTTGCAGGGGTTCTCTGTCTTGTCCAATCTACTAGCAAAATCCAGAGAGGCCTGGATCTCATTGGTTTGTTTCATTTTATGCATAACTAGGTCCTATCTTGAGGGAACCAGCCCTAATGAGGCAAAGAGGCAAATCATTTTAAATGCATGAAAATAATCATTGCCACTGTAGGGTGGCTTGTGGAACTTAAAGCTCTGTATTCACACTATTGGAGGAACAAGTGAGCTGGGAAAACTGGAAAGAGGCTGCCCAGATACTCCATAAAGCCGTGATGACCTTCTCTAATGTTCAGTGTGCCAAGATTTTAAATAAGCAATGCCTGATTCTCCTTCAGAAATCGTGGTGGAGGGAGTGTTTTCCAGCTGTGCAAATAAAGAAGGGGCTCTGTGTTTGGGTTCTCAACCCATCAGTCATCGTTAGGTCGAATGGAAATGCCCCATGAGTCTCTCTTGGTTGTCCCTCTGGTCAGCTTGTCCCTTTTTGATGGGTTAATGGTCATTTTCTCCTGATCTGAGAGAGAACTGGTGGCCTAAGACCTCCTCGAGCACTCAGACCCACAGTCTTTTTCCATCCCCAAATCCTTAACTTCGCCATACCTTTCCAAGTGTCTTGTCCCCTAAAAGATAGTTAAATTTATGAGCCCAGAATGGTTGTAGGTGGGATTGAGGGGAAAATGAAAATTATAACTTTTTGCCATTTTGGAGCAGGTGGGAGAAGGCAAAAATGTCATTCAGATACATTTATGTAATTTTTTAAAATTTTATACCTGTTGACCAATATCTCCCAATTCCTCCAACCCCTTCCAACCCCTGGTAACCACTATTCTACTCTGCTTCTACAAGTTTGGCTTTTTTTAGACTCCACATAGATTTCACGCATAAGTGGTATCATATAGTATTAGTCCTTCTTTGTCTGACTTACTCACTTAGCATGGTGCCCTCAAGGGCCATCCATGTTGTCTCAGTGGTAGGATTTCTTCTTTCTCATGGCTGAATAATATTCCATTGTGCACATTCTATAAACATGAGGATTGGAGGGGAGAGGGTAATGGTGATGAAGAGGAAGACAGGGCTACTGTTGTTAAACCACAGCTAAGCACACCAAACTGCTTACTCAATGCCAGGTAGAATGCAGAGCACTTTGGTGTGTTATCTCTGACCTCGTTAAGCTTTGGGAGGTGCATGAGCAGGAAGCAGATTTGGAGAGACTGGCACCTTGCTCTGGGTTAGCAACCAGCAGGTGGCTCAGCCAGGATCCAGGCCCAGCTGATCCAAAGCCCAAGCTTAACTCTTCACCAGGCTGTAGGGTTGCCTCTCTTTGGGGGGATGATAGTCCTGTTTCACAGAAGACTTGTGCTTGTTTCCCATCATATGGGAGAATCTAGAAAACAGAATTTAGAGTTTGAGGAAGGACTTTAACATGCCGCAGCGCATA